ACAAAAAAAAAAAAAAAAAAAAAAAAAAAAAAAGAAAAGAAGAGAATTGCTTTTCGCATATACATTAATTAGCCTCTCCTAGCTTATTTTCATCACATCAAAATGAAATATTTTTTATACATATGCTATAAACAACAGCTCACATCACTAAATGAATTTCAATTACTTTCATTTAATAGGTTCTAGCCTCTACTACAAAATAAGCTCTTTATCAAGAACCTTCTGTCTCAATCATCTTTGGTCGAGGTATAAAACCGCATATTTACACTTTAATTTTAAAATTCTTTACTTGCTACTAAGAACCAACAGTTAAATTGAACTTATGACTAAATCTATTAAGCAAATCAATCCACAACCTAGAGCAAGTTTCAACATAAACTTCATGAAATTCTTACCGTATTCGAGTACAAAAAAAAAATAAAAATATAAAGAATAATCCAAAAACAAATGAAACTCAATCATATTTGCCCAAAACTCATGTCTCCCTCCCTCCTCAAATACAACCAAACTAAAAGTTCCATAATTTAGCTTATTTATTCCTTAAATTACTTTATCAATATTAAGCAATAATAAAATTAATGACCAATCACTTTAACTTGTTGAGAATCAAATAATTCATGACCAATATTATTATCGAAATCAGTTTACACATATAAACTTCTTAATCAAGATAACCAGCTCATATCAATAATAAGTAATGTTGCTTGCTATAGCCAAAAATGTTTTATCTTTCTTATTGAAGATTCCATGAAAATTAGAATAATCTATTTGTTTTTTTTTTTTGTATGGTGTTCAATTATAGCTTTAATAATTCAATCCAAGGGATTCCTTCCAATTCTTCATAAATAATGGTACTCTGATATCTAGCTAGCTGTTGTCATGCAAGAGAAATCCCAGGTTTTCTTGTTTAACTCATACATCTATATACCAATTTTACCTCACTTCCCATAATAAACTAGATTATCACGAAATAAAATTATCCTACGAATTTTTCGATTAATTGCAAAATAAAAGCACAATGATTTATAAAGCGAATTAGAAGGATAGTAGCCGACCTCTTGGTGTCAAGTCACCGGAATCGTTCGAGTGGCCGGAGTTGATTATCGCAAGCTCTCTGTCCCTTTCCTCTTTCTGTCGGCGAGAAGTAGGTAAGAGATGGAATGGGTCGGAATAGTTGTTATGTAGGGACTAAGAGGCGAGATTCAGGTGGCGGGAGGGCGTTCTTGCCGCTTGATTCGGTCTGAAAATGGGGAGGAGGGGCTGAGGGTGCTTGCGATCGCAGCTTCCTGCGTAAGCCGACTAACGCTAAGCTGCCTGAGACAACAGAGGGTGATGGCGATGAGAGCGCATCGGGAACGGCAGCGGGAGGCGGAAGAACGGCACTGGCTTAGGTGACCGAAATGAAAAGGGAAAAGGGGAGGGGGTGGAGGGTCGCGCACATGGCGCTTGGCGCAAGGAAGGAAAGGAAAAAGAAAAAAGAAAAAAAAAAGAAAAGAAAGAAAAAAAAGAAAAGACAAGAAAAATTCTTGGCTGTTAGACCATCCGGTTCGATTCGAACCGGTCTTGTCTAATTTAATGATTTGGTCTCAATTTGCTTGGGTTTTCGAGTTTTTCAGCTTGGTTTGTTTTCGAAAAATCGAATTGGTTTACGGGTCCAGTTTAACGCAATAATAAAATACTAGCAGGTATAATTTCATTGGTTTGAGAATAAAAAATTTAGTTTTTAAAATGAAAATTTCTACGAATTAAATTCTTCGGGTCGTTTCCAAAAACGACTTTAAATTTGCAACAATTTTTTAAATTTTCGGTGAAATCCGTAAAATCCTCATCTCATTATCGTCGCAACTTGAAAATTTTATGGCTTTTCTAATTCAAACTTCATTTTAATCTGTACTTAATTTATCATATTATTGGAACATTGAATGTAAACAATCTATTTCACCAAAATTTATTCACATTAATGCTCGCTATACTTTTTTGTTACTATTATCCTTAAACATTTTCCATATTAAAGCTTCACACAAAAGAACTTAAAACAAGGGTAATCATACAAATTTTTACATTAACATAATTTTCAATTTATCAAGATTAATAAATTTTATCTAATAAAAAAACACTCAAAGTCCCAAATTTTTTCTACATAAAAACAAGGGAGGGATAATTGAATAATTGAGAGAGACTTAGGTTTGGGTAGGTCCATATCCCATGTTCCTCCTTTTGTTGGGGTTTTGAAAAAAACCAAAACAAAACAAGAAAATGTGATGAAGAAAAGAGAAGGGAAGCGTCGGTGCACATTTGCAAATGTTAACATCACGTCAACCCTCAGATTTGAGCTACTCCGTCTGTCCTCCCTCTCCTCACTCCTTCCATTTTGGCCTTTTTTTTTTTTTTTTTTTTTTTTTTTTTTTAACCCTTTCCAAGTTCCCAATTCTTATTCGGGCATCTAAATATGTGCAAACTCTCCAAATCCTACTCCGCTAAGTCCTCAATCCTAACCGATGTGAAACCGTCGAAAAAAATTTTTTTTTTTTTTTTTTTTTTTTTTTTTAACCCTTTCCCAAGTTCCAATTCTATTCGCATCTAAATTGCAAACTCTCCAAAATCCTACTCCCGCTAGTCCTCAAATCCTAACCGGATGTGAAACCTCGAAAAAAAAATAAAATAATTTTCATTGTATATTATTTTATTACAGTATTAAAGATTAATTAAAAAATAAGATATACAAGTTTCTAATTTATATAAAATTTATTTTTTTAATTAATTGGAAAAAAATTCAAGATATATGGTTTTTCTCCACCGACTGATTCGTTCGTTTTGCACAGTCGCTAATTGGCGAGTGGAGCAAAAGTCATTCTGTGTGAGCGTCACACTGACTTTTTCCTAACAGTAACAGTTCAAATCCAACTAACTACTACCATCACAATTACAAATTCCTCCTTTGGACAATTGCTGAATTACATTTTAGTACCATTCCATTTTAATTCTTTATTCTTTTTCTTATCTTTTCACTCGCAAATGGTAATCATGCAATTGGTTCATTGCTTAACTTGGACAGTTGGACTCGCTCAATCGCCTTATAGCTGTTAGATTAATAATATTAAATTAATTAATATTAATAATATCTACCTATTTTTATTTAAAAAAGACAAAATAAAAAAAAATGAAAAATCCATAAATGAGCCATAAAAGCTCCATGCTTAGCAGTAGCCAGCAGAAAGAACTCTCTTTTCTTTATACCGCACTGAGGAAGGAGAAGAAAGAGAGGCTCTCTTTTCCTTTCGTTGATTCTTTCTTTACTCAGATCCAAAAGTAGTAAATCTTTAACTGCAAAGGGTATGTTTCGAATTCCCGTTTTTTAATTTTTCATACAGGGAAGTTTCGCAATCTTTAGTTTTAGTATTATTTGTAGTTGTGCGGAAATAAGAAACTTAACAAGATGCTACATTTTCTTCTGAGTGAACCATTTCGTTCTTTTCCGTTTGTGGGTCTTTATTAATATACTTTTATATGGTTGTTGATGTATGATTTCTTCTTCTTGATGTAGTTCTGCATATATTGTGTATATAAGTGTTTGTGTTCGTTATAATTGAGCCAGCTTGCATGTGATTGAGATTACCAAATTGTTTCCTTGTTTAGCTACTCTACAATTAGTGTTTTCAAGATTCTTCTTTCTTATCTTGGTAAGGCTAATGCTAATCAACTTTCCTTCCATGGCAACAAAGAGTATCTCTATATACTAATTTAGTTGTTGGATATATTATGTATGGTTTAATGGATCTGATTCTTTTTCTTTCGTCCATGTTCCTTTGAAAAAAAGGGAAAAAGGGTTCTCTATCTTTCAAATAAACCGTTTTTTTTTTTGAGAGGTTTTAACAATAATATGGTGGCATCTTTCTCTTTATTACCAATTAGGGGTTGCTTCTGAGCACTTGTGATGTTACTTTCTTTTTTTACCAAGGTTGTTACAGATTTGATCTGCGGTTGATTTTCTCTGAAAGACCTGACTTGCTTGTGATCTGAAAATTCAGTTGTTTTGATCGATCAATGATTACTACTAGTTGGTTTCGTGTATCTTTGTTTGGAAATCTATATTAAAAGAAGTTAAAAATAGATGAAAGAATATTTAGAGAATCTCATTGCATGTTGCTGTTATTCTTCCAATCTACCTCATCAAAAGGAATGTTGTAAACAACAAAAACAGGCCAGTGACTAAGGAAAAAAAAAATTGTATATGAAAAAGGAAAAAAGAAATGCAATCTTGAAGTTAAAATGTGCTGAATGAAATTCATCGGGTTCTCGAACTGAAGATTTCAGAAGAAATAAAAGAATTGCCATGAAATTAGCCCTGTTTCAATATTGTTTATTGATTTCTTTTTGAATTGTGATGCCTTTTTTACCTTTTTTCCCAGTTATTTTTTTTTTTTGTGTCAGACTTAGAAGTTAAGAAATTAAGATTTTGCAAGTTTTTTTGCATAATTGATTTTTCTTTTTATTCTTCTTCCAGGTGTCTACATTGAACGGTGTCTTTGTCTAAAAAAGCATGGCCATGGGGAAGTACTCCCGTGTTGATGGGAGGAAGTCATCAAGTTACTGTTCGACAATTATGGTGGTTGTGTTTGTTGCTTTTTGTTTAGTTGGAGTTTGGATGTTAATGTCATCATCTGTTGTTCCAATCCAGAATTCAGACTCATCCTCCCAAGAGCCTGTAAATGATGTAAAACAAACAGTTATTGAAAGTAATTCTAAGCAATTTGAAGACAGTTCAGGTGATTTACCGGAAGAAGCAATGAAAGAAAATGGAAATACTGTTGATTCTCAAAGTGAAAACCAATCCGTTGTTCAAGATGATCAAAATGGTTCCACAACAGAGGTAGGAACTACAGTTGGTGATAACAAGGAAGAGAATGCTGAGACAGAGAGCACTGATAAGAAGATTGAGTCTAACAATGTGGTTGAAGAAAACCAGGATGAGAAGTCTGAATCTCAAGGGGAACCAAAGAAGGAGGCTGAAAATGATGGAGAGGGAGAAACTGGAGAGGTGCAAGCTGAAGGTGGTGAAATGAATAAAAGTGAGCAAACAGAATCAGAGGATGCCTCTGGTGAAAAGAAATCTGAGTCTGATGAGGGGGACAAGACTTCAGACTCCGGAGAGAGTACAGATGAAAACAGGCAGGAAGAAAAAGATGATCAAAGTACAAGTGAGAATAACACGGAAGGTCGAGAAAAAGATCAGTCAACAGTTGAGGTTTTCCCTGCTGGCTCACAATCTGAACTTCTGAATGAAACTGATTCTCAAAATGGTGCTTGGTCAACTCAAGCGGTGGAGTCACAGAATGAGAAGAAATCACAACAATCTTCAATATCTAAGGACCAAAATGGTCAACGCTGGAAACTGTGTAATGCCACTGCTGGTCCAGACTACATTCCATGTCTTGACAATTGGCAAGTTATTAGAAGGCTCCCAAGCACAAAGCATTATGAACATAGAGAGAGGCACTGCCCTCAAGAAGCTCCCACTTGCCTGGTTCCCTTACCCGAAGGTTATAAACAATCAATTAAGTGGCCTAAAAGCAGGGATAAGGTAAACATTTATCCACTTGATCAATGCTGACTTCTTGGTTTACTTCGCTTCATATGAGTTTTGGTTCATGATGCAGATTTGGTACTATAATGTTCCCCACACCAAGCTTGCAGAGGTTAAGGGGCACCAGAATTGGGTCAAAGTCACTGGTGAATATCTTACTTTTCCGGGTGGTGGAACTCAATTTAAGCATGGTGCTCTTCATTATATTGATTTCATTGAGGAAGTGAGTTTTATCCTTTTTCTTTTTCTCCCCCCAATATTTCCTATCCTTTCATTACCTCGTTCAGAAAACTATTAACAGATCTATCATTCCAGCTTAATATTGAAAACCTTTTCCTGATTCATATATCATGCATTACTGTGTAATAGCACTTGCATACTAATTGTGCATTTTGTTCTTAAGTCATGTATATTTGTATTTGAAGTTTTATTGAGCATGGAGAAGCATTTTGAGCAGGAGAGACCAGATCCTTCACAACAACTTTAGTTGATCTTTCGATATATTCTTTATATGCTTAAGAACGTATTCCTAAGGATTTGACTAGAGTTGCAACGAGCAAAAGGATTTACATGTAATATGTTTGTCATCATGCAGTCTCTTGCTGATATTGCTTGGGGAAAAAGAACCCGTGTGATATTAGATGTTGGATGTGGGGTGGCTAGCTTTGGAGGTTATCTTTTCGAAAGAAATGTTCTTGCAATGTCATTTGCACCGAAGGATGAGCATGAGGCTCAAGTCCAGTTTGCACTTGAACGGGGAATCCCTGCCATGTTGGCTGTTATGGGAACGAAGAGACTACCATTTCCAAGCTCTGTTTTTGATGTTGTCCACTGTGCACGTTGTAGGGTTCCATGGCATATTGAAGGTGATTCCTTCATCAACTCTGGTTGAATAGTAAACATTTCTTTTGATTGATTTTTCTGGTTTAAAGATTCATTTCAAGTTATCTTGCAGGTGGTAAACTTCTGTTAGAGCTTAATCGTGTATTGCGACCCGGTGGTTACTTTGTCTGGTCTGCCACCCCAGTTTATCAAAAGCTTCCAGAAGATGTTGGCATTTGGAACGGTAGAAATCTCTGTTCTTGTATATATTTCCTTCTGTGGTAGAAGAATGAATGGATTTTTCTTAATCTGGTGATTTGGTGGCAATTGATTGCAGCAATGACTGAACTGACAAAGTCAATGTGCTGGGATCTCAAGGTGATTAAAAAGGATAAACTAAATGGTGTTGGTGCAGCCATTTTTAGAAAGCCAACATCCAATGAATGTTACAATGAGAGATCCCAAAATGAGCCCCCACTGTGCAAAGAATCTGATGATCCAAATGCAGCCTGGTATTTTCTTCTTTTCTTGCTTTTAAGAATTGGTTTTTGTTTGCCATGGGACTGGTCATAGAAATATATAATAACTGAGATAAAATACATTAAAGAAAGAACCAGAATTAATGGACATGACGTATACATCTCAAATTTTTTTAGATATACTATTGGATATAGCAATATCTGTTTATCCAAGTGTCAGATAGACATTTGTTCCTATATGATCACAGTTTTAAATCTATCAATGGAACAAAGAAGGGAAAGATCCTGGATATAATTTACCTTAACGTTTTAGAGCAGGGATCTTTCAAAACCATATAATTTAACTTGAAGCCTTTCAGGGAACATTGACATTGTCATTTTTTTTCATTATAATTATTATTATTATTATTATTATTTTGGAAAATACACTGCATTGAACTTTTCAGTAATTTAATCTGCCATTTTCTTGTATGAATAATTGGAGCTATTTGTATATATTTTTTCACTTGCTCTACATTGAGCAGAAGACTTGACAGACAATTTGAAATTCTGAAAGCAAAATTTGCTTTTATTGTTTTTATTTCCTTTCTGTATTTTAGAAAATTATAGATTATTTTAGCACTGGAATTGCTATATCATGCGTATGGTGTGAACTTCAAAAAAAAAAATTCTTTGTTTATAAGCTAGCAAATTCCTGTTCCAAATGTCTCAACTTGGCTATACAAGGACTTCTTTACAATGTGAAATGCTACAGTTTTAGTTCTCTGTATAATATATAATTTCCATGAAAATTTTTATGGGTGTCGATTTTCAGGAATGTACCACTTGATGCGTGCATGCATAAAGTACCTGTAGATGCATCTGAACGTGGGTCTCAATGGCCTGAGATATGGCCTCAAAGACTTGAGAAGCCACCTTACTGGCTGAAGTCTCAGGTTGGAGTTTATGGTAAAGCTGCTCCAGAGGATTTTACTGCTGATTACAATCACTGGAAACATGTTGTTTCCCAGTCTTATTTGAATGGGATGGGAATCGATTGGTCTTCTGTGAGAAATGTCATGGACATGAGAGCTGTATATGGAGGGTAAGCAATTTAATGCCGTTTAATATACTTTCATAGCTATTGGAGTCAATAGCCTTAGCATGCAGAATGAACCTGTAACTCCTTGGGGATTAAGCTTATACTTCATTGGTTTGTCATAAGCATGTTATTCAGTGGAGGATCTGCTTTTCTTGATGCTGATTGGTACAGCCATATAGATGATCCTACAAAAATAAAACATAAGGCTGGTGTGACTTGAGCTATTCGTGGTCTGTCCTGGCCGCCTCAGAGAAAATTGGACAAAATTTTCTCCTATGATCATAATGTTTCTTCATTGAGTGATGGGCTTGAATGCATTCATGGCTGATGAATGTTAAAAGATTCTTCCTCATTGCTTTAATGCCTTCTTAATGATGGCTTAATAAGCTTCTAGTTTATAAGAAGCAGATAACCCCATGTCATGTTTTTCTTATGCTTTTTGGCAATTATTTCAGGTTTGCTGCGGCATTGAAGGACTTGCAAGTTTGGGTTATGAATGTTGTCCCTATTGATTCAGCAGACACACTTCCAATCATTTATGAGCGTGGTTTATTTGGGATGTATCATGATTGGTGTGAATCTTTCAATACTTATCCAAGAACCTACGATCTTCTCCATGCTGATCATCTATTTTCCAGTATCAAAAAGAGGTTCTTATTCTATTTTTCATCTTTGTGCTTCAATCTCCATCCAGTGATCGCCAGTGAATCCCCTAACTTGATATGATACTGATTTTGTGGTAACAGGTGTAACATAGTGGCAGTAATGGCAGAAGTTGATAGGATCTTAAGGCCAGAAGGAAAGTTGATTGTGCGAGACCATGTTGAAGTCATTGGTGAGATTGAGGGAATGGCTAAGTCTATGAAATGGGAAATCCGAATGATTTACTCTAAAGACAATGAAGGGCTGCTTTTCGTCCGCAAGACAATGTGGCGTCCTACAGAGACCGAAACAATTCAATCAGCCATTATGTGAACATGATGCTTCATTTTTGTCTTTGAGATGAGGTTAGCTTGCTGCTTCCTTATTAGAATTCCTTATCCTTACTACTTAATCATGTATTCTAAACTTCTATTAGGCATTCAACTTGCAGTTTAGTATCCATAGCTATAGTTCTTAATGGGCAAATGTAAAATTTTTTCTACCTCTGTTCACAAGTGTAAAATCATGTAGTTGATTATTCTTTAAACAACCCTTAATATGATGTTTACTATATTAATATTATTAGCTAAATCAATGTCTTTCTTATCACTATTCTCCAGTTTCAATGAATTCAATTTCAATAAGGAAATTGATTTTTTTTGCACATGAAAATCTGTGCATTTCATATCAACAGAAGGATTTTTGTACTGTTTATTGTACTAGTTGCATTAAATATATTGCTTTAATGCTGAAGTAAATCCCATTTTCAAAACTCTTTCCTTTCCTATTTATTCTTTTCAGTTTTTATTGATGGCAAACCTACAAAACCATTGCCATAAAAATACAGAAAAAGAAAATTTATAATTGGCCATTGAAGAATTTCTCATCCATGAGTAAATGCATGAATATAAATCATAATACCTGCATTTTTCCTTATTTAATCTTCTCGATAGCACCAACATGAATATTGGGAGATCTACCAGTTACTGATTTAAGATAAAATGGACCATCCTTTGGCCTTTGGATTCCATACTTGTACACATTTCCAAACTTGAACTTGCTAAGCATTAGAGCAATGGAGTCCACTATGCTGCAGTACATGCAAGGTACTCCAATAGTCTCATGGCAAAGAACACAATTTCCTTGGTAAGAATATGCACCTGATTTTGAAGAGAGAGAGAGAGAGAGAGAGGTTTTTTAACCGGGCAACGAGCAACAATGGAAGTATTAGCACCATAGTTAAACAAATCATAAGCAATTTCCATGCTAGAATTTCCACATCCAACAACCAAAATATCTTTGCCTCTAAATGCTCTTCGTTTTCTTCAGTTCCTTGCTTATTTTCGCGAAACCAAGATGAGAAGGAATAACTGTGATTTCTGCAATTTCCACTTCTGACCTGCAGCACCGTTTTGGGCAAACCTTTTTTTTTTTTTTAACTAGGTAAGTCCAGCTTTGTTTAAGAAATTAATTTAATTTTTTAATTTACCTAATGAAATTTAAATTTAAATTTAAATAGAAAATTAATATAATCAACTTTATTTTTTCAATCAATAAAATTAAAATGTTAAAATTCTTAAATATATTATGTTGTTACCATATTTGATATATACCTTATATAACGTATAACCTACATAATTTTGAATATAATACCTATATAATAAAATATAAAAAATATAATTTATTAAATTTAAATCCAATATAATTTTAAATTTTAAATAAAAAATTAATATGAACTAAAAAAAATCAATTTACTTTTTTATTTTCAACCAAATAAAATTAAATAGTTAGTGATGTTTTTTTCAAATCCGTAAACCTTCCATTACTATTTCCACAAAAAAAAATTTATAAACTTAGCAGGAAATTTAAATTATTATTTATTTATTAATTATTATATACTGAAAATTAAAGACATGCAACGGTTATGATATTTCCATTGCACATCTTTGGAATCACCAAATTGCTAAGTGTTAGTGTTTTATTTGATTTCAATCACTTTTTTTTCAATTTTGTTCAAGGATGAAGTTGCCCAACGGTGCATGCGAACAAAACGATTCACTTTTGTCTCCCCTTAAAAGGTTTCCGTTCTTTTTCTTTGTGAGGAGGCCTGAAATTTGTAAAGAATAAAAAAAAAAAAAAAAAAATCTATAAACTTAGCAGGAATTTAATTATTATTATTATTATTATTATATACTGATAAAGACATGCAACGGTTGATATTTCCATGCACATCTTGATCACAATTGCAAGTGTAGTGTTTATTTGATTTCATCACTTTTTCATTTTGTTCAAGGAATTGAAGTTGCACGTGCTGCGACAACGATCACTTGTCTCCCTAAAAGTTCGTTCTTTTCTTTGTAGAGAGCCTGAAATTTGAAGATCTTTGTTTTAAGAGCATATGCATATATAGTTAGGCATCAACCTTTGCTCCTAAATATGAAGATGCAAGTGATTTTCCAAATATATTTTATACCTAAAAGAAAAAAAACACAGTAATCCCACTACTGAGGAAAGGAGTAACATACAAATTATACATAAGATTGTCCTGCTAAATAAAGAAAACCTATTGTGACATTTATTCTTAATTTCCTCTATTGCATATACGTACAACTTATTTACTGTATCAAAAGCATGATTTGACATTTGGTTATTGAGATGTTCATTTCAATGACAAAGCAATATTAAAGAAATATAATCTCATATTTCTAATTCAAGAAAAAACAATTTAATATGGTTTCAAAGATCGAGAATATTCTCATTATTTATATTATCAATTTACGTTTATTAATAGGACTTTGGTTTAGTATTGAGACAAATATATTGAGATTTTAAACATTCAAACTCTTTCCGGTGAATTCTAATATAATATAATAAATACATTTCTATATCATATTTACACTGAAAATATATTTGATTACATTATATTACGTCAATTTCATCACAACTTACTAAATGAACCTGATATTTTAGGTTTTATGAGTTCCTATCTTACCCTTGTTTGGCAAATTAAAAAAAAAAAATCCTACCCATATCAAGTTTGGATTATATAATAATATTTGACATAATTTCTTATGAGATAATGTATAATTACAAGACTTTTAGCAAGTAATTATTTATCTCATAATGCAGAAGATAGAAATTTCCAACAATATTCTCAATACAAGGTTTGAATTCTAGTTTGCAAGATAAAAAATAAATACATTTGCCAAACCATCTAGTTTGAGAAACCCTCTGTTCTTTCAATATCATATATATATATATATATAGTCCAACATTTTAAATAAACGAATCATATACATTCTCTGTTGTGTGTGAGTATGTGTTAATTCATACCAAAAGCTAATAATTAGGTCAAAATATATAATTTTGGACCCTACCATTTATAGTGGAGCGCAATTTCCACCTGCTTCCAACTCCTCTTGTCACATATGAACCTGCATCAAACATAACATAAGAGTATCTTTTGTCCAACATTCTTTCAACTCACTATACTAATTTAATGTCAGCCCAAATTATGCAAATGGGGCACCTCTTTCTTTTTAAGGGCAGTTGATACATTGATAGCCCAAATTTGCCCTTTTTGTGCCTTAGAAGTGCCCTAAATTATTAGGGTTAAGGAGAAGGAAAATGTCCTATTTGGTCTTTTTCTCTTACTCTTTTACTTTCAAGAAATGGGGTGGCTTGATGACTTTCTTTTTCTTTCAAGTATTTTTATGTTCCACTGACATTCTCTATCTTATATATTTGTTAAATTTTACCTTTGTTGGCAAAGTAGTAAGCAAAAGTTTTCAAAGATGCTTCTTTTGAACTTCCTTTTCAAATGCTTTCTGCTTTTCTTTTTTCTTAGGCTTCCTTTGGCTTCTGAGCTATCTGCAAATAATGAAAAGGGCACTATCCTCATGTTTGCATGATTGAAATTAAGAAAATTATTATATTAATGCTAGATGTTTAGGTTGGTTCGTTCGACCATGCATAGGCTTGAGGCTATAGCTAATATCATATATAGCCATTTTCCTATTCTTTTTCTTTTGTTTTGAACTAATAGCCATTTTTTATGCATTTAGCATCTTTGATTAGGAAACCAGAATCACGCATTTCATGGATGAAAATAATATAATCTACTGTATCAAATCATTAAAATCATTTAGCAAGATATATAAAAATTGTTAGGGCTGGATACCCACTTGATCGAGGAATTTTTTTTGAGTCTCGTGAGAGAATATACTTATAGACTTCGACACCAATTACCAACTCAAAATCTTAACGTAATGGGTTATCACATTTTTCCCACTTAATCAATTATTTTTCAATTTAAGATTTTGCTCCTAATTGATATTTAGGGTATTTTCGGCAAAAGTAACTATTTTGATAGGTGTTAGTTGTTTCAGTAATGTTTAATTATTTTGTTAGAATTTTTCATAAAAAGCTAAAAACTAAATATTACATGAGTTAATATATTATAAAACGTACTTTAGCCTCTAAAAACTAGTTCAAACATTATATTACCCAACACCATAAAAAATAGCTTAAAAAGCTGTTGCTGACCACAACCCTAATAAAAATTTACTTAGTTGATATCTAATAAAGATTTAACTCCTAATACTATTTTATCATTGTTTAATTTAAAAAAAAAAATCATATTTTTTACAATTGTGTGGACAATAAAATTTTCATTTTAGCCAATGAGGTGAAAGTCTGATTAGTCTTTTCACTTATGTGATGAGTCAAAGGTCTTGAGTTTGAGTTTTCTTATTTTCACCAATTTAGTGAGCTAAGGGGAGGGCTGCCCTATTGTGTAGCCTGAAATATTATTTTGATTCATTGAAACTTTAACAAATTAAAGAAACATCATATTAGAATATTAATAGGGAGAAATAATTAAAAACCTTATATTAATAAAAATTAGTACCCATCGAATGAATGGTCCCATGCATGTAAATATTTAAATATCCCCTCAAAGTAGCTTCCTCTAACTCTCACTATTCTAGTAATAGACAAAGAGAAGCAACACCATGAGATTGCTTTAACAGTTTAGTATTATCAAATACTACATTGTCTGCCATTGACACATCTTTCCTCAAACAAACAAGTTGGCACTCTCCATACATTACTCAACATGTCTGCTTCCAAACCTCTCTAAAGCTGCTATAGTTTTTGCAATCTTAAGAGAAAAAGAAAAAAAGAAAGACTACTTAAACTTCAATAACCATCTTCTCCTCATAATCAGAATTCAACAACATGCTAGTTTCTTTAAGGCAAAAGTTTTTTCTCTTTACTCTTCTTCTTTCTTTCTTTCTTATTCTTTCATCATCAGAAGCTTCAAGATTGCCTAAAGAATATTGGGAACAAATGTTACCTAAAAAACTCCCAACTCCTTCTTCTTCTCCTTCTAAAGGCACCAATTCTGTTACTTCATCATCTTCTACAATGGTCAAAGTTGATAAAAATCTTCCTTCATCAGATGGAAAGGTCTAGTTTTTCTATTGCAGTTTCAAGAATTATTCTCTCTCTCTTTCTCTAACTGTAGAATATTAATCTATATGGAACCTGCAAATTTTGCAACTACGGATCGATCCGGGGAAAAAGCATGCAGGCAGAGTTTTTTTTGTAAATGAGTTTCTCTTCTTGATGGTGTTAATTTGTACATGCTTTAAAGAGAATTATTAATTAAATTCTCTCTGCGGATATACATTGTAATTAAAGATTAATTAATGAGTAGATATTTTATTTATATGAGCCTGCTTTTATTACTTCATTTTAATTATATGTATAACAAGAATAGATCATATCAATGGAGATAGATATGTAATATATAAACAATGTTTCCCTGAAATTAATTCTTATATGTTGTCTCATATGATTAACTATTTTTCTCCTCAATTATAATGACATTTATTATCATTATAATACGAATTTCTTTTAATTGGCTTATGAGTTTCTGCATTTCCATTTGCTACTGTTCTCTCCCATTGAATTTTTTTTCATTTATGCAAACAAGAGAGAAATATATAAAATAAAAAAAAATTCAACTAGATTATTGAATTTAAACTATAATTACAGGCCTAACACCAAAAAAAAAAAAAAAAAAAAAAATGTATAACAAAGTGGTATTCAATGGAGATGATAATTGTAATATATAACAAATGTTTTCCACTGAAATAATTCTTTAAATATGTTTGTCCTCATATGATTTAACTATTTTTTCTCCCTCAATTAATAATGACATTTATTATCATTATAAATACGAATTTCTTTTAAATTGGCCTTATGAAGTTCTCTGCTATATTCCCCATGTTTGCTACTGTTCTCTCCCATTGAATTTTTTTTTTTCAAATTTATGGCACAAGAGAAATATATAAAAAATTAAAAAAAAAATTCCAACTTTAGATTTAATTGAATTACTATAATTATACAGGCCTAAACCACCAAAAAAAAAAAAAAAAAAAAAAAAGAATTACACTTTTTACTCATCCTTTTTTATCCTTAAAATAGCAATTAAAATTTGCCCTTTACTTATAAGGGTTAAGTATTCTTGGTCCTTGGAAAATTAAAATTGAAAGCTTCGTTTGTGATTTGGCTTCCCCTTGTTTTGCCTCGATAATCCTCAAAAAAAAAAAAAAAAAAAAAAAAGAATTACACTTTTAACTCATCCCTTTTTATTAAAATAGCATTAATTTGCTACTTAAAGGGTTAAGTATTCTTGGTCTTGGAAATTAAATTGAAGCTTCGTTTGTGATTGCTTCCCTTGTTGCCTCGATATCTCAAGCTCTTCTGCAACTTCTTTCATGGTAGGTCTTTTTTCTCCTTGTAATTTCAAACAACTCTGAGCAAGCTTTGCAACTCTTTCAAGTTGCTGGGCATTTCCTTCTTCTTTCACTCTGTACTCTAAAATATTGAAAAGGCTTTTATCTCTTAATGAAGAAATAAAATACAAAGCAAGACTTTTCTGTTCACATTCCGAAAATATTGCTTTCTTCCCGGTAAGTAACTCAACAAGAACAACTCCAAAACTATAAACATCGCTCTTTTCGGTTAAAATTCCTGTCTGGAAGTATTCAGGATCCATGTATCCAAGTGTGCCTTGAACTAAAGTAGTAATTATTTGTTCTTGATTAAAAGGAACTAATCTGGAAACTCCAAAATCAGAAACTTTAGCAGTGAAATCATTATCTAATAAAATATTAGCAGATTTAACATCTCTATGAACAATCTGCATGGAATGCATATATGCAAGTGCCTTTGCTGTCTCTTCTGCAATTCTCAATCTTACCTCCCATGGCAAAGAATGAACAAAAGCCGAGTCATGGAGGTGGTGAAAAAGTGTACCATTGGTTATAAAATCATAAACTAGCAATGGAACTGGAGTTTCTAAACAACAACCTAAGAGCTTAACTATATTCGGATGGTGGATTTGGGAAACAACAATTACTTCATTGACAAACTGTTCAATCTGGGTTCTGTCTATTGCTTTTGATTTTTTTATGGCAACTTCTCTTTTGTTTTCTGATAAAATTCCTTTGAAAACTACTCCATATCCACCTTGACCAATTACCATATCCTTGTTGAAGTTATTTGTGGCTTTCTTTAATTCTGCTTCTGCAAATATTTTTGCTGCATCTGTTGAATTTTTGCTTTTGAAGAGTGTTTGTTGTAACAAGAGACCTCCATTTTGCTTGAAATGCTCCTTTCTTGACTTGATTACGCTTTTTCTTTGCATCCCCAAAATAGTTGAAATAGCCAGGAACAGAAGTACAAGACTGATACTGACACCTGCATTGTACAACATTTCAAAATCTACCGGTCAATAGTTCAAAATTACAGTCACTTCCGTCTTTATTCTATTTATTCAATATTTCTGAAAATCTCTATATTTATATACAATTATGTAGACTATAGTGGGTTTAAAAAGGAGTTTATAAGATTTACCTATAATGGCTCCAGTCTGGGTCGAAATTGTTTGCTTGCGAGTGCAGCCACTTCCATCTTTTCTGCCGTCCCCATAATAACCCTTTGGGCAATAACAAGTATAATTCCCCATTTTGTTTTGACAAGAATGCGTACACTGATTTAGGCTTGGAATTTCACACTCATTTATATCTGATAATTAATGAAAAATAAATACCAGCCCATCAGGTGAACATTTAAAGAACAGTAGCTCTCTAAATATTGTCAGAAAAAAATAGTTTAGGAGCTTTCATTTAGCTGTTTTAGGTATCAAATAGAGAATGTTTACCTTTACAACCATTAGGAAGATAAGGATTCCCAGAAAAACCCTGAGAGCAATTGCAGCGATATCCAGGGCCATTATCAGAATCAACACAAACAGTATTATTAGCCTTACAAGCATAATCTTCAGGCTTCGTTAGTGCATCATCGCAAGTCTCATTTCCAATAGCCCAATCAAGCAGGACAGGAAATTTTACAACATCCCTCAAATCCCCAAGATCCAAAGTAGAGAAATTGTAAGCACTTTCCTCAACAACAAATGCATAGCTGCATGGATTAAAATCCAAAACATATGTGTGATTATAAAAGCTACCAATATCCAAATAAACCTGCAATACTTCTTTTGGAATAGAACTTTGGCAACAGCCAATGCCGTTGCAAGAACCATTTACAATATCCACCATTTGCTCACAATAGGATATGCAACCAGTGGCGTACATCCCTTTTGCACGAAGGCCTTGAATATAGGCATTGGTGTCGCACCCTATCGCAGTTAGCTTGTTCTTGGTGTAGGAAATGGGGAATCTCCCCAGCTCAAGTGTAGATTCCGAATATAAAGTGTTACCAGATTGGTCGTAGCAATCATATGCCGGTGTAGTGGATATTCGTAATTGGCCTTCTACTGATATGTTAAGGACTTGTATTTGGGTATCGCCTAAAAATGCTTCACTAGTGGATGCATTACATGTTATGAGGAAATCTTTGTTCAGATAACACCCTTCCTTTGTTCCAAATGGAAATGGAATAGTTAAATCTCCACAGTGATCTTGGCAGCCGGAGACTGCTTGAGCTGTTGTTAGTGTAGCTGTTGATAATATCATAGCAATCAACAAGAATTGCTTTTGCATATGCATTTTTTCTCTGTAAGTTTTCTTGAGCTATTGGTTTGTTGTTGGTTAGATAATATCTTTATAGTAATAAATCACAAGGTTGTTATTAATTATTTCATTGTATTTATCGAACACAAGACAGGAGAATGAAGACATGAAAGTCTATATTATATATGTCAGGCGATAAAATTTGTGCATGTAGATTTTTAAGCAAGTCAATATCTAATTTAGTTATTAGTTACGATTATCATCAGGAAACTTATTTTGCTGAGAGGGTACGGCCGAAGAGATTTTATATCAATGTCTAATTTATTTGTGAATAGGGTTTTAGTTTAGCAGCTAAATCCAAGGTTTCGGTTTAGGTTCTTTTCCCACAAATTTTTGTTGGACCAAAAATAGCCAGGGGTGTGTTATGCAAACGGTCGGCTTAAGTCCAAACCAAATTAAACTAGCTCAAATCGAATAAATTAAAATTTTTTTAGAAAACTGTACCAATTGATTTTTTAGAACAAACCATAACAAATTGTATCAATTGGGTTTGGTTCGCTTCAAACTTTTCGGTTTGTTATTTAACTCAAAAATTGTTTATGTCCAAATGAAATCAAAATAATCAAAAGAACCAAAATAACTATTGAAATAACGAAATATCTCATTTTTTGTCTGTTCAATTCAATTTAATTTCACTTAGTATATTTTTATTTTGGTTTGATTTTCAAAATAGTTTTATAAAAGACTAAACTACACCAAACTGAAATAATTGAAAAATCAAAATGGTCAAATTGACCCGAACCAAATTTCTAAATTAAAATAATTTAATTCAATTTTTTTTTCGACTAAAACAAAATAGTACTCCCCTTATGTAACATAAGATTTGAGCCTATGATCTCTACAATGTACAGGAAAAGAATTGGTCAATTATTAGAATATGTAATTGGAAGGTGGGTTCTTATTTCTTAATAATATTATTGCATTGTTACATACTTCACTATCGATTATGACGAGGTGACAAATTCCTAATTTAAACAATTCGCTTTCCAGTTTTGTATGAAAGGTCTTTATGTCAATTCGATAGATAGTAACTTTTCGGGTTCCCTCTAATTTTATGACAAATTTCTATACATCCATCATTTTTTTACAAACATATGCTTCCCCCCAGTGCTTCCCCCCCCGCCCCCCCCCCGTACGCCCCCCTCCCCCCCCCCCTCCAAACCACCGGTTTCTTAAACCTATAATTAATTAAACATTTATCGCGCTTCCACCCACTCTCCTCCCCCTCCCCAAACCATCCGGTTTCTTAAACACTTATGCATTCATTAAAAATCCTCACATCTCCCCCCCCCCCCCCAAACCACCGGTTTCTTAACTATATTATTAAAATCCACCTGATCTGGCTCAAGACTTTAGTCTCCTATTACATTTACGGTATCTTAACCCTATTATCAGAGACTGTCTAATCCGGCTCGGGGCTTTAGTCCCCTATTACCAAGGATTGTTTAAGGCTCTTTGCTTCTCTTTGCAGTTGTGCTTGGTGAAGACCAAACTCGATGGCTCTTTTCACATGCTCAGTCTGCATTACCAATTAAGTCACAACCTATAGGTGGAACATATGCTATTTTGATAGACTAGTTTTTCACAGATTTTTTTTTTCGCTAATAAGTTCTTCATAGATTTTAGTTCTACTTTTGATATTTTACGGTCACTTAATAGAAAAATTAATTATTAAACCTTATAGAGCAAAACCTAAGAGCTATATAGTAATTACTCCATTTCTTTAATTTTCCTAGAACAAAAGATATGGATCCATTGCACAAATTTTTGAAATGTACAGTTTGAAATTATTTATATGAGATTAAAATAAGACTTTCGAGGAGAGATATTTACAGAATGAATGAGAATAGGTAAATGGATCTCCTCCTTATTTGTCATTTATCCAAACTATAAGATAATGTATAGTGTAAACAGAATCATTATTATTTATAGTAACTCTTTATATGCCTATCATATCCCGTAATTGTGGGATCACAACTATAGGCTGAATGTATATATATATACTGTCATCTTCCTCTGTAAAATATAGAAGAATACATAATTCTCATATCACTTTTATATGGTATCAGAGCCGTAAACCTAACGGTCTCTCTATTTTCTTTTTTTTTCTCTTTTGGTTATCGACCTGCAATTGATTTTTATCTCTTTCGATGGCTATCGATGATGATACCTCATCTAACACTAGCACCCCAACTGTTATTCCGCCCTCACCTACCTCTAATATCCACCTAAATGATACCAATCAGTTAATCACACTAGCACCCCAACTGTTATTCCGCCCTCACCTACCTCTAATATCCACCTAAATGATACCAATCAGTTACACTAGCACCCCAACTGTTATTCCGCCCTCACCTACCTCTAATATCCACCTAAATGATACCAATCAGTTAATCTCCATTAACGCTGCTGCACAAGCTCCACTCAAATTGACTGCCATGAACTACATGTCATGGTACACACGATGGTATTCACTTCTTATTGGATATGACTTTCTTAAAATTGTTGCAAAGCCACTTACAGCAGATCTGAGTGCCAATTCCTACAGGATCCGACAGGATCAGCTTATTTGGAGTGCCCTTATCGCGTCACTCTCTCCCGAAATCGTTTCATTTGTTGTTGGCGAGAATACGTCTCATGAGGTATGGCAGACTCTACATAACATGTACTCGAAACCTTCTCAAGGACGCATCATGAGTTTGAGGGAATCTTTACTCACCATCAAGAAAGGCACGATGTCTGTGACCAGTTATTTGCAAAAGGTAAAATCCATCACTTCTACCCTTGCTATAGCTGGTGTCAACATTCTTATGCCAGAAACAGTCCTGTATGTATTACATGGCTTACCACTTGAATATAAGGAGGTAGCTGCTGCATTACGAGCAAGAGAAACTCCGGTTACATTCGAGGAGCTTCATGACAAATTGACAGACTTCGAAACACAGCTGGAGCGTGACACTACCTCTGCCATTCTGCCAACCACAGTCCACTACACCAACAATCGGTCACAGACCAATCGACATAACTCTGGAGGTACCTCGATGCCAAATTCTAGACAAAATTATCAAAGCTCCAATCGGCAAAATTCTGGATCGCGAGTAGTTTGCTAGTACTGTGACATTCTTGGTCATGTTATGAAGCAATGTAGAAAGTTAAAGAAAAAGTGCCCATGGCTGGTTAACTCAATCAATTCAAATGCACCTAAACCTCAAGCAAACTGTGCTACTACAGGCTCGACATCGGACTCTTCATGGTTGCTTGACTCTGGTGCAAACCAACATGTCACTCATGATTTGCAGAATCTGTCGCTACACTCTGAATATGACGGGTCTGATGATGTTCTTCTTGGTCGCTACACTCTTGAATAATGACGGGTCTGATGATGTTCTTCTTGGTGATTGGTACTGCACATTTCCAATCACACACACTGTTCCTGCCTCTCTCAAAACCTCTATCTCGACCTTTACTTTTGCTTTACTTTTGACAAATGTGCTGTGTGTTCCTGGACTTCATAAGAATTTAATCTCTGTTTATCAATTCTGTGTCCAAAATAATGTTGAGATTGCTTTTAACCCATCTTTATTTAATGTGAAGGATTTATGTACGGGGAAAATTCTGGTGGAAAGAAAGCCAAGTGATGGTGTGTATATGTGGCCCTCAAATGCATCCTCCATGTGTCGACCGGAAGTTTCGAACACTACGGCTCTTACACACTCCGTTTGGCACAAGAGGCTTGGACACCCTGCCACTCCAATTTTACGGTTGCTTAGTTCATCCATTAAATTGCCTTTTGGTATTGATAATAAGTATTTTTGTGACTCTTCTAAGTGCAATAAAATGCACAAACAACCTTTTGCTGAGTCTACAATGCACAGCACTGAGGCTCTTCAACTAATTTATTCGGATGTTTGGGGACCAGCCCCTATTTCTTCCATTGATGGGTTTCAGTATTATTTGCTATTTGTTGATCATTATACATTTGCTATTTGTTGATCATTATACGAAGTATGTTTGGTTATATCCCATGAAACGAAAATCCAATGTGTCTTCCATATTCCCTGTTTTTAAGCAATTAGTTGAAAACCATTTTAAGAAGAAAATTCGGTCCTTCTACTCTGACAATGGAGGGGAGTTTTTACACTTAACATCTTTTTTCCACAGTCATGGTATCTCCCACTATCTTACTCCACCATATACACCTGAACATAATGCCACTGCTGAACGGCGTCATCGCCACATTGTTGAAACTGGGATTACACTGTTACATGTTGCTCATCTCCCATTATCTTTTTGGTCTTATGCCTTCCAAACGGCTGCATATCTCATAAACAGGCTGGCTGCATATCTCATAAACAGGCTTCCCACCTCTGTGTTAAACAATCAATCTCCCTTTCAATGGCTACATGGTTATGCTCCTAACTATGAGAAATTGAGGGTATTCGGCTATCGTTGCTATCCTTGGACACGTCCTTACAACTCTAACAAGCTGCAACCAAGATCTCGTCCATGTATCTTTGTGGGATACTCCACCAATCAGAGTGCCTTCAAGTGTCTTGATCCGACAACTCAAAAATTGTATATCTCTCGGCATGTGGATTTTGTTGAAACAAGTTTTCCATTTGCAACTTTGGACAGCAATAAGCAATACTGAACGGTCTACTGAATCTACGGTTGCCAATTGGGCACCACATGTTATTCTTCCGCATCACCGGTTCGAGACACCATCAAGATCTACACACACACCATCACTAGGCGGTTCTTCACCATTGTTGTCCTCTGTGCCTCGTCCTTCGCGCAACTCCATGACACAGCAACCTGCCACCTCAGGTACTTCTCCTGCCCCTACTGATTCTAATACTCATTCCACTAATTTTGCTGGTGCTTTGCCAAGGGATTCGACTGTTGTTCCTCTCATCACTCACCCAATGGTCACCCGCAGTAAAAACAATATTCATAAACCCATTCAAAAATTATGT